GGGCCGTCACAGTGTCTGTGCTCTGCCCTGCAGGGCTGGCCTCCAGCTCTCTGCGGGGCGATCTGCCTGGATGTCAGGGTAGGACCGGCCGACAGGACAGCTGAGGCCTTCAGGGCACACTGGAGAGTGGACTCAGCTCACAGAACCCCTCCCAGCACGGAGCTTTCAGCCTGCCGGGCAGGAGTGATACTCACACACACAGCCACAAATGGTCTCTGCCTTCAAAGGGAAGCTGTTGCCTCTGGAGTCGTCCTCAGTGCCTTGCTCACTTGTGGGTGGGGAAGCTCCTACTGGTCATTCCGGCTGGCCGCCACCGGCAGTTGCGGACATTCCCGTTGGGAGCGTTCCGGGGAGAGCTGGGTGCCCAGGGCTCGGCCTGTTTTCTGCCACCGTGAAGTAAGGAATAAACTGGGCTGTCCTCAGGGTGCCACAGTCTGCCTGGCTGCTGCCCTCCAGAGCGCCCTTCCTCGTTTGTAATGCAGGGGTTGGGCCGGAACCAGGCTCAAGCGGGTGAGCAGTGCCTGGTCTTGGTGCTTCCCTGGCATCTGAGGGTCCCACAGGGACTGGTGTTATGTGCCGTTTCACAGAGGTGGAAACCAGTGCTCAGCAGAGGTGAAAGTCCTGTTTGGCGTCAGTCCAATGACTGTCGCCGGTGAAGGGGCAGGTGGTCCTGCTTCGACCCCACCCTCACTGATCTTCCTGCCCCTGCCATCCTGTGGTGCTGAGCCGGCCTGAGCAGGGCGACCCGGCTGATGTTAGCTCAGGGCCCCCTTCGTGCCCATCCTGGAAGAAGACACCACCCGCTCCCATGAAGCAGGTGCCCCCAGCCAGGGTGCCCAGTGATGGGGCTGTGGGGCCTCCCCACCGCACCTCCCTGTGGTCTTTTCTGTGTGAAGAAATGTTTTTGTTATGACACAATCGATGAAAATAAGAGAACATAAGTACATGGAAGACATCATCGTAAGAGTGCACACAGATCTCCCTGCCGGTTTAAGAGATGCGACTGACCAACCAGTCGCGAGATGCAGCTGAACAGCTGCGGCGTGTGGGCCTGGCGCTGAGGACGCGGGCGCTGGTCTGGGCTGGCCACCCCCCTCCCCCAGCTCCCAGCGCTAAGTGAAACCAGCCTCAGGCAGGTTGGGGGCCTTTGAAGTCCTCTGTCACCAAGGTCTGGCCAGGAGTATCCGGCCTCCAGCTCCCTTTTTTGTTTTGGCCTCCAGGAAGCTCAGAACCAGTTCTTTGAGCACCTGGCTGTTCTGTGAGCCCCTTTCCTTCTGGCCCAGCCAGGCTGTCTTTGACCCTGTTTTTGTGTGTTTGTTTTTTTTGTTTTCCCCCTGGAATTTTAGGTGGAGACACACATTTTGGTTACATAATTTGCTTTTGTACAGTTTGAGTCAAAGTTGCAAGGGTGCTCTTCAGTCAGTAGTGTGCATCGCGCCGTTAGGTGTGAATTTACCCACCCCTTCCACCCCCCTCCCGCCTCTAGATTTCCCTTGAGTTTTACTTCCATATGTGCACGTAAGTGCTGATCGCTTAGTTCCAATTTAGTATTGAGTACATGTGGTGTTTGTTTTTCCATTGCAATACTTCACTTAGAAGGGTTTGTTTCTTGGTTTGGTTTTTGTTTTAAAATTTTTGTTTAATTATATTGAATTCATTCGATGAGTCATCTCCAATTCTATTTGGAATGAGGTAGAACAAAAATGAACTGGGAAGGAAGGACAGAGGGACAGAGGGAGGGGGCGTGAGGAAGCGGGGTGGGTGGGCACCGGATGTCTGCCATCTGGGGTGCAGAGGGGAGTGCCTGGCCTCCCAGGAACTCATGGCTGGTTTTTTCTCCCAGGGGAACTTTTGAGAAGCTGCTTCTGTGCCTTGCGTTTCTGTGTGCTGTGGAGGGCGGGTCTCCCTGGAGGCCGGGTCTGGGCTGGTCCCCAGGAGGGCACAGCCAGCTCAGCTTCCTGGTCATACAGCTCTCCAGGAGAGCACCGCTCTTGTTCCCGTTCCCGCGGGCCCTTGGCAGGCTGGCTCTCAGCCCCGGGCAGACGTGGTCCTGTGAGCTGCGTGCAAACATGCGTGCTCACCTTGGGGCCGGGTGCACCTGCCCGCTGCCCCTGGCTGTGTCCTGGAGACTCCCATGCTCACTGGGGCGCTCCCACCTGCTGCGCTGTTCCAGCTGCCTCCCTCCTGCCCTGAGTGGAGACAGTAGCACGAAGAGGGGTGCCTCTAACTGAAAAGCGGGGAAGGAGCCGTGCAGTAGGAGGAGCTGCTTCTGGAAGGGAGAAGCAGCCCGGGCCACGCGGCTCTGCACAGGCCCAGCACAGTAAGTTCCCGACTCCCCGGCGTGTGGCCTCTCAGCAGGCTGGCACTGAGCGCTCTGTCCCTGGCCGCCCTCCTCTGTCGGCTCCCGCACTGGCTGCTCTGCAGCTAAGTGGCATTCCAGGTTGCGTTTGCCCCGTGCTTGGGTACTGCAGATACGTGACGGGCCCTCACGCTGCGTCCCCAAGGACCGCACTTCTGCGGACCGTCTGCCCTGCCTGCCCCTTAGGAAATGTATTTTGTGAGAAGAGCAAAGGGGAGCATCAGACTTTTTGGTAAACCACACAGCCGTCCCCTGTCACTGCCTACTTCTCACCTCTGTCCGATTGCTTCTCTTCCTCCGTCTCCTCCTTCCATATGGTTCTGAACCAGGCCCAGCTCCTGGCCCGGGAGGCAGGATTCTGCAAATATTTGGTTACAAGTAAACATAGACATGATCTCAGTCTGAACGAGAGACGTTGTTTCTCACAGTTGAACTCTGAGGGCAAAGTGACAAAATGATGCTATCTTAGCTTCCCAACCTGTGTCAGGTGGTCAGGTGTGGTTTTTCGGGCAATTTGTGATGATTGCCGCTCACATTTAAAGAACAATGTTGAGCCTTGGCAATGCTTATAATTAATCTGTTTCTAGTATTCTCGTTCTGGAAGGGAAAAATGTCTTATTAACTGTGTGACTTTGGGAAAATCACTTAACCTCTCTGAGCCTTGTTCCTCCTGCTATTAAGTAGGCGCTGTGGTCACAGCTAGTTTTCTGAGGAAACTTGTGAGGAAAATGGGTTTCGAGGTCCTGGCAGCAGACTGGCACACAAATAAAATGATGGAATAATATTTATTTGGCACTTATTACTGGCCAGGCACCATTCTAACCCTTTTATGTGTTTCCTTATTTAATCCTGTCAACACTGCTGTTGTTTTCTCTCCATTCCAGATGGAGAAACTGAGTGACAGGGAGGGTCCAGCCGCAGAGCTGGCCTCAGCCCCGGCACTATGAGTGTGTGGGCTCAACCCCAGCCCTGCACGCCGGGCGGTGGAGGAATGAATGAAGGAATGAACAAATGAATGCCTTTAAGTTTGTCAACTGAATGTGGTTGGTTGTTGCCTTTGAAAAAGGTTTTAAATGTATTTTTTCTCCGTTTGCTCGGGGAAAACAAAACAGAATGTGCAGAGGTGTCCCAGCCCGGTCCCTTTAATTGTCCTCACCCCGTCCCCAGCCCAGCAGCCGTGATCTGTGTGTGCGTCACCGGGCCCCGTGCAGTCCTACTTTCTTGTGGATTTGGCAGCGGCTTTTGTTCCGTTTCACAGAGCTGTTTACGCTGCGGGTTTTCAGTGCTGGTTGGGCTGCCAGAACGACTCACGGACCCTGGCGACGCCGGGGAAGCTGGTTTCTGCACGCTCAGGCCTGGCTGAGACTCCTAGCAAGGCATCCACCAAAGGGCTTCCTTTACTCACTCTTCACCAAAAGCCAGTGAGGATGAGGCGAGGTGGGAGGTGGTTCCGGTTTGCGTAGCCTGCTCTGGCTCAGGGCTCCGGGCGAGCAGGAGCGAGGGCCGGTGCTGGCTGGTGCTTCTCTGGCCGGCCTGGGCTGGGGCCAGTGGCCTGCAGAGAGTGGAGACCCGCTTCCTGCCAGGGGCAAGGGGCCTCCAGAGTGAGGGGATACACCCATCTGCTCCAGGCTCCTTGTCCTAGGGAGGCCGGGATGCTAAGGAGACTGCTGCATCTGGGAGCTGGACCAGTGCCTCTCTGCCTCATCTGCACGGGGGGCATGGAGAACTCAGGCGAGACTCCACACAACCGGTTCTTTCATGCAGCTGCAGTCAGCACAGTAGAGAAGACCACGGTAAACAGGAACATAAAAACAGGGCCTCATTCAGGCGAGGCAGGGAGATCAGGCACCACTTTGCTGGGGAGGTGCCATCTGAGCTGAGAGCTTGAGGAGTCCTAGGAGTTAACCAGGTGGAGCTTGGGTACGTGAGTGGGGAATAGTTCAGGCTGTGCGTGGTATGTGCAAAGGCCCTGGGGCAGGAGGAGCGGCGTGTGTGAGGCAGGGACAGGGCATGTAGGAGGCACATGAGGAGGCAGGGGCCAGCTCACCCAGGGCTCTGTGGGACCGAGTACATGCCCTTCACCCCATAGCTCTGGGACGTCAGTGAAAGACTTTCCATTTAGAACTATACACTAGTGTTAGCCGCACAGTGTAGGCTTGGTTTGCTGCAGGTGAGCCGTCTGCTCCAGACTGCCTTCCCCCCGCAGAACACACGCCCCATGCCAGGCCCACAGAGCACATGTGACACATGCTGTCACATCTGCAAGATCAAGCACCCAGCCCCACCCCCACTCCTCCACTGCCCACTGAGTGAGTGCTTTAAGGCACTTCCTCCTCCCTTCTCTTTTTCCTGTGATGATATCTGATAGATTCCCAGAGAATATGTCGTAGATGCCAACGATGCATTTACTCTGTGCCAGGCCCTGTTGTGAGGGTGCAGCAGGCCTGCGCTGCTTTTATTTCCACAGTGAACATATGGAGAAGGTCGCTATAATTATCAGCCCATTTTATGGATGAGGAGGCTGAGGCACACCTCTGTGCCTGCCAGTGGTCACACAGCTCATAAGTGGTGGGACATGGATGCAAACCCGGGCTCATGGCTCCAGGTCACGGGCGCCTCACCACTTGTTCTACTGCCGTGTCCGCAATGCCAGCTGGCCGTGCTCTCTAAGGGCTGGGGGTCTGTGTGGTATGTGGTTTCTGGAGGGAAGCTGCTGGGGTCTGGGTCACTCGGGGACCAGAGGCAGCTGACCCTGGCCCTGTGTCCGCAGGCCACCCCAAGGCCCCTGGAGGGTGGGTGTGGTTGAATGGCGCAGGTGGTTGGGTCTGTCCCACCACCCACCTGCGTGTGACCGAGCCATGCTCTGAGTGCCTTCAGCAGATGGTCCTCCAGGCCCTGCTTGGGCACTCAGGGCCCCCAGGACTTGCTACCGTATCAGTCTCGTGTTAGACTTTCTTTGAAGCATTGCTTTTCACAGGAGTCTGTGGGAGGCACCTGGGATGCTGCACGTAGATGGCCGTTGGGAACCCAGAACCTCAACTGAGACAGACTGTTGTCCTTCTTGGCCTGGACACTGGTAACCTTAGGTGTGGCGACAGCACTCTGGCCGCAAGGTCATCCGGGTGTCTTTTCAGTGAAACGAAGGTAGTAGGTACCTCGCATCACTTTTTGCATCTCGCAGTAAGGTTTTCAGGGTGTTGTCTCAAGCACTGTATTGACTACACCCTTATCCTTTAAAAAGTAATGAATCACAGTGTCCACTAACAGTAGTTGGCATGCAGTTGAGGAAGCACAGGTTTGGGTCTAGATTCAAGGCAGTGTAGGACGTTTGACGAGCATAGGTTTTGGAGTCATCCTGGCACGGCTCCAACCCCAGCCGCTGGGCCACGCCATGTGACTTTGGGCCTGTCACGCTGTGTGATTAGAGTGTTTCATGCTTCCTGCTGGGCTTGGGGCAGGTGGCTGTTGGGATCCCCCAGCCCCGGTGTCACTGGCTTTGAGCTTCTCCTGCCTGGCCGGCACTCACCTCTCCGAGCTCGAGGCGTTTTAACTGTGCAGTGGAGACTCACATCCCTTCACTTTCCCCTTGCAGTTGCCTCACGCTGAACAGTGACCTCCTCAGGAAAGGGAGCTGCTGTGCAGTTCAGCGTGGACGTGCCAACAATAAAATCCAGCACAAGGCGAGGTGAAAATCTACAGTAAGCAAGGCTGCCTTGTCGTTAGCATCAGGCAGGCACCGGACGTTTTCATCTATATTCCGTGAACGGCCTCACAGGGGGGACATCGTTGTCCCATTCGACAGATGGGCCCATGAACGCCCTGGCCCAAGAGTCTACAACTGGCGGGTGGCAGGACTCGTGGTGGTACCCAGGTCTGCCTGATGGAAGCTTTTGATTTGTCAAAATAATCAGTCGAAAAGGACATAGGTAAAAACAAAACGAAATTCCCACCAGAGTTGGGCTGTCCTTGATGACAAGCTGGCCCCAAAGCTAACCCGCCTGTCAGACCCTCACCTACAGAGACCTGCGTGAAGGAGCTGGGACCCCGCCCAACCCGGAGGGGATCAAAAAGTCTTCCTGGGGCTGCGTGATCTTCCTGGGAAGTTTTGTTGCAGAGAGGAGGTGCCCCCGTCCTTCACCCCACGCGCCAGGTGCCCCCGGTGTGCCCCACATGGGCGAGTGCCATGGAGCCTGCCGGATACTTGTGGTGAGCGTGTGCACCTGCGTGCTCCTGCAGGGTGGTGGCTCGTGGGTGTTGATGTTGCAGCCAAGAGTGCAGCTCCGGTGAATGCTGCTTTGGAAATGTTCTTTGGCAGTCGTCCCCGGGGAGTTTCCAGTGACCTTTTCACTCCTCGGAATCCCTCCCCCCCACCGCCCCCCCTTCCCTGCATCACCTGGATGTGCTTGGCTGTCCCCTAGGCCACTCCCAAGTGTGCAGAGAGACTGTCTGAACCCCAGGCCTGTGTGCTGGCTGGGTCTGCCCTTCCGAGAAGGGACCTCTAGTTCCCAATGGAAAACATTGTTCCTCTAGAGATATTTGGACTGGCGTCACCAAATGTTCTAGAGCTACCCTGCTGCTCTTGGCAAATGGCGCGCTAGGAGGAGGATGTGCTGGCATAGTGCGCTGCAGGAGGGCACTGTGGGGCTGCGTGCTGTGGGGTCACTCTGCGCACAGCAGGTCTTCCCTCGAGTGCTAACCCGGGGAGAGGTGGGCACGTGAGCGCAGTCCTGGGAAGAGGCAGGGGGTGAGGCTGAGGCGGGTGGAGGACCTTCCCAAGGCTGCGGGTGCAAGGCGGAGCCTGAGTGTAGCCCAGACAGTCCGACGTGGAGCCCTGTGCTTTGCCGTAAGGTTACTCTAGTTTCTCCCGAGGAAAGGTGTCCGCGCTTTCCTGCCATCCAGTCTGTGTCCCCGACCCTGTGTGTAGCATACTGCCAAGTGTCTGGTTTAACATCATGAACTGTGTGTCGACGCAGGAAATCTCATGGCTGACAAGTGGTCATTGCCTCCTCCAGAGAGGTGTCCGTGTGGGCTTATATCCCACAGCTGCAAAACTGCTATTGCCACATTTGTTTCAAATAGTAATAAATAACCTCCTTAGCAAAATGAACCAATATTAATAATTTCAAAAAATATGCTGAGCCAGAGCGCCCCTCTGGGCAGTCCATCTAGTCCTTTATCTGAGGGACGCTCTTCACTTGTCACTCACGGACTCATGGGGTCTGGGGCTGGGGTAGCCTCTGGGCACCGGGTCCACAGCTGTCATTTTACCGGAAGGGACGACCAGGAAAGTTAGTGACCTCACGGAGCCTGCCGGGCCACTTTGTCACGGGCCAGGATGGCCTCCCAGGCCCTGCAGGAGGAAACGCCTCCACAGAGCATGAGGCCCGGACGGGGCGGTCTTTCCCGGTTTAACCTTCAGCACACATTCTGCCGGTGCCTCGTCCCTTTTGCCTTCTTTCCTCTTAGTGCCTTTGGGAGTCGAAGGCTGTGATAAGTGTGTGCCAACAGGGACACAGGTGAGGGAGGTGTGGGCTCGGCAGAGGCTGGCCAGGACACGTTGCTGCCTGGATTTGCACCCTGGACAAGGGAAGAGAACAAAGGAAGCCCCTTGGGCTCGGGTCTCGCGGGAACTCTGCTCAGCGAGGACTTGGGTTTCGTCGCCCCCGGGGTTGGGTCCGCACAGGACAGCACAGCACAGCACGGGCAGGCTCCCCGAGACGCGGGTGGGCAGTCCTTGTGCAGAACACCGAGACAAAGTGAGTTCGCAACCCAAATCTGCAGGACTGGTGTCCACAGAAGAGAGAGATTTTTCTAAACTTATCGTAGGAGGGTAGGATTCAGGTGTCTCAGGAGCCAGGGCCCTTCTTTAATAAACTTTCAGCAGGTTAGTTTCTCCGTCACCCTTAAGCTGTGAAATGCACTGTGGCGTACAGGGAGGGGTTTGGTTTGTGCTCTCAAGTGTAGGTATAGTCTTTACTTTCAAATAAAGACTCACAGCGACATCGTGTCCCCAAGTCACCTCTTGACAAGCACGGTGTTCCAGAAACTGTCTGCAGCCCTTCCAGTTCAGCATGGGGTTTGGCTCTTGTCTTAGTTCAGGCCAGAGCAGCTGGGTGTTGGGTTCTGTCCCAGTGTATCAGGGGCCTGTCTCAGGTACATCCTCCACCTTGTTCCAGATTTAACCCCTGAACGATTCAAGGGGATTTCGGTGCACATCAGATCTCGGAAGCTGGCTTGGAAGCGATGGGTTAGGTGCAGCTGATCTCTTTGGCACAGGGCTAGACTAGCTCCTCCAAGCGAAGGTCCCTTGACGTCATCGATGATCATCTGATTCAGAGGCTGACCAGAGGGATAGGTTATTGGCCACCTGAAAGCCAGGAGGCTGGAGGGAGTCCAGAGTTCTGGTGTCAGAAGGTGCTATGGCAGCCTAACGGCGGGATCCCAGACACGTGGGTCTTCCCCAATCCTCCTTTCCCAACCTGCCAGACAGTGATGGTGATGGTGATGGTGATGGTGAGGGCTGCCCGCTAGGGTTTCTGCCAGGCTCTGTGAGATGCGCCCCGGGGACGTGCCGTGGGAGCTGCCCAGCACCACGCGGGCTTTGGGGGTGGCCAGGCCTGGGTTTGTAGTCTGGGCGAGAGGTGTGTGGGGGACACTTGCTGGTCTGGGGCTGGGGGCACAGTGGGCATGGGGCTCTCTGCGACCTTGAAGGACAAACCCAAGATGCTCTGGGTCTCCCCTCAGTTTTATGTGGGTGTGGACTTACACAGAAAGTTGGCTACCCGAGGAGGCCAGGCTGAGTTCCTCCTTCCTGCCCCCACTTCCGGATGCAGAGGGGAAGGAAGGAGTTCCTGTGGGCAGTTTTGGGGTACCTTCCATCAAGCCTGCATTTCGAACACTTCACATAAGCAACTCGTGCAATTCAACACTCTTTCTGACTTTTTACCATCTCAGGGGCTGGGGCCTCCATGTGTTGATAACACAGGTTATAGTTTCCTCCTGTTGGCCCTGACCTTGAAAATCATATAGTTATATGATTCTCGATTTAAAAAAAAACTTGTGGCAGTGGATGCAATTTGCATGATTTCAGGTTTTGAGTGTAGAGTTGTTACATCAAGATGTGTAATACTGAGTTGGATTCAGGGAGTGTTGGAAGGAGCAGAGTTCGTGCACCTGTCTGCGGCTGAGGAAATGGGCCCTGGGTTCCCTCAGGGACAGCAGTGTCCTCGTGCATCCTGAGACCTTGGCTCCTGACGCCCTGCCTTCAGGGCCCTGCTCGGGGGAGGGCTGACACCGCACTCTCTCGTGTTGGGACGCATATGAAGATTAAATGGTTTTGCCAATGCATTATCGTAATGCTCGTATATACATTAAACTATATGACAATATGATTCCTGGTAAAATGAAAAGCATGACTTCGGTTCTGAAACTACAGAATACTTGCAGGAATCGGACCAGTGAGTTCCCACTTGGCATTGCTGTCTAGTGACTGCAGTCTGGGTGTGTGGTCTGGACAAGATGTAAACACACGGTCAGATCACGTGGGTTCCTGTAAGACCCGGGACCTGGCAGGTCAGACCCCTTGCTGTTTTCCCTTCAGAGGCCACCTGAATGTGGGAGTATTGAATACTTTTGGGAGTAAGTGGAACTCGTTTTTAAGCTAAGAGTTGCCTTGTGATGGGATTCACTCGATTAGGATTGTATCTGTGCTGCTTCAATTTTAGTCTTACAGGTACAGATGGTGTGAATGAACCCAAACAGGTTTTCGGTGTGTCGTTTTCTTGCCTTCTCTGGGAGTTCCTTTCAGTGCATTCAGTCTGGCCCTGGGGTTGTCGTATGCTGAATTCGTTTATACACACTGCCAAGTTGTCCTCTGAAATGTCGAATCAGTTTACATGTCACCGATACCTTTAAAAAATCTTTCTGAAATTTTTGTTTTTGCAGCTCTAATAGGCAAAGGAATAATCTCGTTTCTTGGCATTCCAGTCTGAGCTGTGACAGGCTTGGGGTCAGGTTCAGGAGGATCAGTGGAGCGAGTGTATAGAGCATCCTGTCGCTTCCCAGGCACAGGGGGGTGAGCAGGGAGGGGTGGCTCAGAAGTCGGTGAGGGGGGAATGGGGGGTACAGACTGTGGGACTTCGCCCAGCCAGGTCTGCGGGGGCAGTGGCCCCAGGCAGGGTTCCACGCCACTGACGGGAATTGTCTCAGCGCGTCCCTGCTCAGCTGTGTGAGGCTGGCCCTGTTCCTTTCCTCACTTCAAAAGGGAGGGACAAAGGAGCAGAGGGCCAAGGGGCTCGCCCAGCGGCAAACAGCGAGGAATGTGGACGTGGGGACAGGGTCCAGCCCCCGGGACCCTGGACCGAGCGCTCCAGCACCTGGCTATGTAACCCAAGAGCACGCTCTCTAATTCCTGCCCCTATTTCGAGGGCGAGATGAGTATCTCTGTGGTTTTGGAATCGTCACTAGGCTCTGTGTTGTTGTGATTTAAGGAAAACAATCTGTCTTGGTGATCTCTGAAGTACCCGTAGAATTTATTTTCTGTCCCTTCATTTCGTGCTGAGGGAGCCCAGGGTAGCAACACCTGCCTGAGTAGGACCCCAAGTATAAGTTAGGGGTGTCGATACTTCTGAGAAGGGTGTCTGTGGGCCAACGCTGATGGCGAGCAGGACTGTGGGAGGCTCTGCCCCCACCCCCCCCCAGCTCTGGGCCTCCTGCCTGCATTGTCACCTGGTGTCACCTGACTCAGGGTAGGAAGAGCGTTCATTGTCCCTTGTAAGAGGATGTCTGGGTTTCTCCTCCCACCTCTGCCATCTCTTAGGAGACCTCTCACCTCTCTGCGCCTCACTTTCCTCACTTCCAAAATGCCGGAGATGATGCTGACTCGTAAAGTTGCTGGACGTATCTCCTGAGACAGTTTATCGGTGTGACCTTAGTGTATGACATAAGCCTCTCGTGCATGAACGCGCGCATGCCCGCACCACACAAGGGCTGCGTGAACCGTAGAGTAATTACAACCTGAGGCTTTTCTCCCCGCTGAATAGGCTCTTAGAAAAAGAGTAGATATAATTGAGAATTCCTGAAAGTCATTCATTAATTGATTCTTTCAAGTAAGTAACAGCAGTAATGACAGTAACAACAGCTACTGCTGATTGTCTTCTGTGTTCCAGAGCATCTGCCTGCCTCGCCCTGAGGGGAGGGTGGTCCCTGGCTCCCCTTGTGGAAGCCCGTCTTGCTGCTGGCTCGTGGAATTGTGTCATTTGGGGACCTGAAACACATGATACATGTGTCACTTCTGAGCCAGCGGTGACAATGTTTGCCTTACCATTTATGATTAAACTGGGACAGCTGTCACTGTTCCCTCAGTGGTGGATGTGCCACGTAGGCCGGCAGGGGAGGACAGTTCAGAATGACCCTGTTTTATTATTTGCAGGCGCCGAGGAGCTCCACGCCTTCTGCGTCCCTCCGCTGTGAGAAGCCGTCGAGGTGAGTGTCTGTGTGGGTCACGCATCCCTGTGTCTCTGGCTGCGGGTCAGGTCTCCACAGAGAAAACTTGGACGTGGTGTTACTTTATTCTGTAGTAATTTTAATTTCTTTTTTGATTTTAAATATTAATAATCAAAGGTGACACATGTCAGGTTTATATCCATTTTCTAGATGTAATCTCAGGCATCAGAAGCCCAATCGTGGAAACACATGTGATTGTCTTTCAATAAATAATTCCATCGCCGTGGCCCGGCTGTGTGGGTACAGCGTTTGGGGGTGGGCCCCAGGGCTGGTCAGAGTGCGCTGCAGCGACAGCTCCTCTAAGCGGGTGCCTGCAGGGACCACCCCGCCCGTGCCCCGCACGCCAGAGTCTGTCGGAGAGTCCTTCTCTGTGGATCGCGATGGCCATAGGAGGCATGTTATTTTTCTAAAAACAGTGATCCAAAAACTCAGATTTTTAAAAATAATCAAAACTCTTTTGCATCCATGCCTGGTGAATAAGGTAGAGAGAAAAAAAACCCTCTGGGGATTGTTTGGATCCTGATTTGAACAAATCAATTGTAAAAAATAAATTTATGGTATTGGATATTTGATAGTGTTATTTCTTTGTGAGGTGTGATAAGGGCATTGTACATATTTTAATTAAGAAGTGTCCTTACCTTTTAGAAACCAACTACAGGATTGTAAATGAAACGGTGTGTCTGGGATCCCTCTAGAGCCGTCGCAGTGGCCGAGCTCTCTGGGTGTGGATGGGCGAAGGTGGCCAAGTGTTGGTCATCTCAAAGTGGGGCGATGTGTACGTGGGGGTTTGCAAAACCATTCTTTATGTTTTTGAATATTTCCAAAATTAAAAGAGAGAGAGAGAGAAACTCACAGTGAAAATAAAACCCCAGCCCTCTGGCAGTGCTGAGCAAGAACTGAAAGCCGCATCATGTGACCCTGCTGTGTCCTCCTCTGGCTTCACCTCGTGGTGTCATTGCTGGGGTTTGGCCCTGTCTCCTCTCCCCAGATCTTTTTCCATCTCATCCTGGACACCCTCAGCCCTGACGTTAGAGACCCTCCAGGGAGGGGCTCAGGCTGCCCTGGGACCCGCAGGGGACTGCAGGGAAGCTGCACGTGTGATGGCCCTTGTCTCGAGTCCCGGGCACCTGGCTCCCACACAGCCGGGCCTTGCCAGGTCCTCACCTCCAGCCTGCTGGGTGTGGCATGGCCAGTTCTGCCCTCCTCCCTCTCCATGTGTCTTTGTCTCACTCCTGGGTGCCTGCCCCAGCCACCTGGTCAGACAGCCTGCCCCACATGCATCCCCCATGCGTGGGGTTAACCAAGTGGGGTCCCGCAGAACCCCACAGAGCCCCACAGAGCGCTGGACCTTCTGAGAGGAGCCAGCTCCACTGCAGTGAACGAAATGCCACTTTGGTTTCGCAGTGGCTGAAATTCCCCAGCTCATCTCCTCTCCAGGATGAGCTCCTGCCTTGCTCCCTGGGCCTCTGGGGACCCAACCCGGCCCGCTCAGCAGCCCCGTCCTTGGCTGTGCCTGCCCCAGGAGCTGCTTGCTGATGTCTGGCAGCCGTGGCCCCTGCTCACACCCTCCTTGCTGCCTGAAGTGCGCTTCCTCCCAGCTGCCTCTTGCTGGTCCTGACACCTCAGGGGGGTTGAGGCTCCCCTCAAGGAGTCTGGTCTCAGACCTGCTCCTGCTCCCGGTGGAACCGCAAGGACCCCTCCCACCGACGCCCTGCGCCCTCATACCTTTTGTCTCAGCCCCCGCGTCACTTCTCTGAGCCACTTTTTCTCTATTTATTCCCCGCTAGAAGCTTGCAGTACCCAGTCATGCCCTGCAAGGAAATTTAGACTCGTGCCCTCCTGTGACTGGAAAGCAGTGTAGAGAATGTAGCCGTAGATTCCCGTAGCCTGCCGCTGCAGGTGCTCGTGTGACAGCCTGAGAGGATGAATGTCCTCTCCCTCTTTCCAGTTCTTTAGCCCCAATCGCTGAGCAGCCCTCCTCCTCTCTTGCAGGCCCGCCGTCCTGAGCCCCGCCATGGAGGAGGGCCACGAGCTCGACCTCACCTACATCACGGAGCGCATCATCGCTGTGTCCTTCCCTGCTGGCTGCTCTGAGGAGTCCTACCTGCGCAACCTGCAGGAGGTCACACGCATGCTCAAGTCCAAGCATGGCGACAACTACCTGGTGAGCAGTGGGGCTGGCTCTCGGCACCCCAGGGTGGCCCAGGGAGCCCTGGGCAGGCTCTGCAGTGGGTACTGTGCGAGGAAGCAGCTCCGGAGCCTGGACGCACACAGCCACGTGTAGAGAGCATTGGTCCTGCGCTGCTCTCTGCCACCCACCTCGGGAGCAGTGTCATGCCTTTCTGTAGGCAGCTGTCAGGGACACGGGACAGCTGCCCACAGGATGGCTGCTGCCTCATCCTGTCCTGAGGGGGCATCACTCATCAGTAATGCTGGCTACACAGTGCCTGAGGACGTGGCCCCGCCAGCCACGCCTACAGGTCCCATGTGGCATCGCTGGGATGCCAAAGCAAACTGTGACTCTCTTCCTGAACAAGAAATTAGGAAGACAAATTAGGTGGGTGTCCAAGAAACCAGGGGCTGCCCTGGAGACCAGTAGACAGCTCAGTTTTCAAAACAAACGTGTGTAGTTGGTGGTGGAGCCCCCAGTTGAGGAAAAACACGGAACAGCTCTAATTCTCGCCCTCTGACGGGCCCCTCGTTTTCTCTTCCTAGGGTTGCCAGCCCACGTGGAGGCCCATCTTCCTCTGCTGTTCTCGTCACTATTGGGGTTGAATAGTGCTGGCCACTATTGGGCTTGAGTGACAGCTCCCTAGCACCTTCCCTCTACCCACCTCCTTTCTACAGCAAGGCTGATCTGACCCGGAAGCCAACAAGGCTGCTGTTGTCTCCCTTGTGGATCTGTCCCCATGACTAGACTTGGGCTGGGAGGGTGGCCCAGGCGGCAGAGTGAGATGTGGCCTCCGTCTGACTCCAGAGCAGCCCTGGCCAAGGCCTCCTTCTCCCCTAGAAGCCCGGCCTGGCTGTGACCTGGACATGGAGAGGGAAGTGGGGTGCAGGCCCTGTCCCCCCGGGGCTTCCTCCTCTGCCACAGGGGAGCTCTGATCCACAGGACCATGGCTCTCCTTTGGGAGCCACGTGCTCTGGTCAGCATATCCCCAGCCCCCTCTCTGGCCACCTTTCCCTCATCCCCTGGCCCACTTTCCCCGAGGAGACCGTGCAGAGGGCACAGACAGCACCCGGCTGGGTATGGGGACAGTTCTTCCCCTGACACTGTGTGGGGCCTTGTCAGGGCCACAGTGCCCCTGCCAAATGGCTAGGTCAAGGGTCCACTCCTTGTTTTGGGATGAGGACCTTTTTGGAAAACCTCAAGAAAGACCTGTGTGCATGTCTTGTATAGACCGTCAGACCCTCTGTTTCTCTGTATTCATCCAGTAGTTAGATATGAAAATAAAATGATGAGCCATTTATGGAGGATGTCCTGTCCTGGGTGACGTGTCTTGTCTTGCTGTAGTGTCCCGATCCCTCTGAGGAAGGGCTGCTGTGTCCCCAACAATTCTAACAGGGCTGGGATGGGGAGGGCATTGAGTTGGCCCAGGAGGCAGCCGGTGCCGGGGTTAAAAATGAATTGTGGGCTAGGTACAGTGGCTCATGCCTGTAATCCTAACACTCTGGGAGGCTGAGGCGGCAGGATCGCTTGAGGTCAGGAGTTCAAGACCAGCCCGAGCAAGAGTGAGACCCCATCTCTACTAAAAATAGAAAAATTAGACGGGCATTGTGGTGGGTACCTGTAGTCCTAGGTACTTGGGAGGCTGAGGCAGAAGGATTGCTGGAGCCCAGGAGTTTGAGGTTGCTGTGAGCTAGCCTGACGCCATGGCACTCTAGCCCGGGCAACAGAGTGAGTATCTGTCTCAAAAAAAAAAAAAATGACCTGTGGACCCTGTGCCAGGGCAGGAGCACCCCTCCTAAGCAGGCCTTGCTGGGTGACTGGACAAGCCCCTGTTCTCCTCTTTCCTCACATCCTGTCTCTGAAGTGTGAGGGATGTTTAGTTAATTTTTAAGGCCCTTTTCTGTTGAAACATTATTTTTTTTTCGTTTTGTTTTACTTGAGGATTTAGCAAGCAAAAAGTAGCTCTGATTTTTCAGTGAAGTTAGGATGTGGCTTTCGGCTGGTCATGAACTCGGTCCTGTCCTGGCCCGTCCTGCAGCACCGTAGAGGAGGGACCGTCCTCTTCAGCGTGTGCGTCCTCTCCTGATAAGTCTCTGTTTTCCAGGAGCAAGCCTGGGAAAGTTATGGGGTGCGTGTGCGTGCACGTGTGTGTGTGTGTACACGGGCACGTGTACACATGTATATATTCTGTATGTTGGAATATAAGAATAAGAATAAGCCATTGGAATAAAAAAATAGTAACGTGCCTGTTTTAATGCTAGTTAACATACAGAATTCGAGTCTGTGCAAAAGGATGCAGTATGCCACCTTCATCTTATTGATGTTTTTTGTTCTGTGAGAATGCACTTACCTACACATTTCAGTCTTTTACTATCATCAGCACCTTGAAGGTAAATAACGTGTGGAAATGGATTGCATTTTCTCCTTTCATCTCTGGGGTTGATGATTCGTCTAAAAGCTTTATTTCCCCCTCCTTTGTAGGTGTTGAACCTTTCCGAAAAGAGATATGACCTTACAAAGCTTAACCCAAAGGTATGGACTTCGTCCCTTTATATTCTGAGTTTTGTTGAATGTAAACAATGTTCTGCTTGTGCAAAAATAGTTTGTTACTAGTCTTTGTAAAAGGTATTAGGAATTATTCCTATCCGTTGGTTATTTTCTTAAATTAAAACTTTTTTTTTAGTTTGAAATAATTATAAATTCACAGGAAGTTGCAAAAATAATACAGAGAGATTGCATGTATTCCTCCCCCAGCCTCCCCCAAAGGTTAGCATTTTGCAAAAGTGATAGTAAAATATCTACACCAGAAAATTGACATCGGTACAGCCCTTAGACCTTATTCACATTTCACTAGTTTTGCATACACATCTGTGTGTGTGTTTCTCTGCCACCTCATCTTGTGTGTAGACCTGTGTAACCACCACAACCAACACACAGAATGTTCCGTCACCACAGGGATCTCTGTCGTGCCACCTCTTCGTGGCAACACCCTCCATTCCTCCCACGACTATTTTCAGTAGTAAAATTTGGGAAACAATTTTTAATACTGTGTAAGTAAGCACAAGTTATGGTATATAGATGTATATGTTCTGTATGTTGGAATATTTTGTAGCCATTAGAGTGAAAAAAAAGTAACGTAAGGTGCCTATTTAGTACTAGTTAACAAAAGTAGAATAAGAATTTATGTATAATAGCATCTGCATTACGCTAAATGTACCTAGAAAAAAAGACCCAGGGACTCATCAAAATGTCACAGTGGTTTTCTCTGCTTTGTGGGAGGGTAGTGACTTCTCCTACTTCCTGGCAGTTTTCTGAAATTTCCAGCCATTTTACACCATGTCTACTACTATAATAATAAGGCAGAGCTCCGTGTCCTGTCCCCACTTACCAAAAGGAAATAAAAGGAAAAGCAACACCACCACGTGGCCACTGTGGTTCCCCGTGGCCTGGAGCTGGTGTCAGGATGCTCGGAGCTGCTGTTCTCGTGCACAGAGCCACCGTGTCCTGATCACAGGACGGTGATTTTCTTTGTTTGTGCACCAAACCAAATCGAGGTTTGAAGGTGCTTCCTTCCTCACGGGCTCATTCCTGCCTTTTAAGGAGTTTGTTGTCCTTTGCCTCTGAGGCGCTGTCTGCACCGCGTGTGGGCAATGGCTAGCTGTATTTCCAAAACTTTGATTTTTAGCCTGAGTGTAGGGATTTTGGCAGCAGCTTGGGGCAAGGACTCCTGTTTCAGATCTCTCTGGGCTTTGCGCGCCCCCCGCAGCCCCGCACCATCAGCAACACCCCAGAGGCCGCTCTGGCATTGTCACCCCAGCTAGTGGAACAAGTGAGCCCCTGGAAGAAGAGGTGTCACGTGTGTACAGCTGTGGCTATTATTTTTTCCAGTGAAGGAGGTTGGCCATAATGCAACATTGTACTTTGCCGCTAAATGAAATATGCTGATGATGAAAGAAGTCATCATGAGAGGGCCCAGCGGGCGTCAGGAAACGGACACTAAGGAAGCTCCCCTCTCTCATTGCAGATCATGGACGTGGGCTGGCCGGAGCTGCACGCACCGCCTCTGGATAAGATGTGCACCATATGCAAGGCGCAGGAGTCCTGGCTGAACAGTGACCCCCAGCACGTGGTTGTCATCCACTGCAGGGTGAGCGTCTCTGCTTCCTGGCGCTCAGGGGTCTGGGGGTCCGGCTGGGTTTCAGCCGTTGGGGGAAATGGGATGGAGACCAGTGCTGGTCCTGTGTGAGCTAACGAGCTTTGTCTCCGCGATGTGCTCCCAACAGGTTCAAGTAAGTTTTCCAAATTGTCCTTAAAAACAGACAAGGAAACAAAAAGAGTTACCAGACCTCCCCAAGTTTGGCCTTAGAGTTTATAGGATTGAGGTCTCTGAATGTGTAGCTGTGCATTTTGAAACTGATGGTGGATGGTAATGACAGCAAATCCTTTTGTTTCTATTCATTTTTGTTTCTCGTGGAAAGCTCTTTTTCCAAAGAGAAAGGCACTTTCCCGATGGCTGGCAGCAGACCTGCTGTGCCACCTTAGGCTGGTAATTAGTTGATGGACCCGTGATGATGTGGCGATGCTCTTGCGGTAAACACCTGGTCCTTTCCAAGCGGAGCCTGCACAGGGGAGACACAGCCTGTGCATCTTCACAGGTGGCCGGCGGCCCAGCTGTGGTGGCAGGCATTCCTTCTGGCTGCCACCGGCCTCCTTCATATTTCCTCCTCTGACCTCCTGCAGTCTCTCCTTTTAACGCTCACATTTCTCAGCTGCCTGTACTACCCCTGGTTCCTCAAATGTGATTGATGTTGAAAGGACGCCACCCTCCGTGAGGCGCTTTATTACAGGAGAATAGCTCTTACCCCAGACACCTTGAGGAATCCTTCGAGAAGGGGCATTGCCAGGCAGTGGGGGCCGCCCATCGAGGGGCATCCCACTACTTTGTATGTTCAATACTGCATTCTTAGGGCCATCAAAACATCTAGGAATGTCGACATTTCAAGGTGAAATTATCTTCTTTCCCCCCAGACTCTTGCACTCGTAAGTTGCACAAAAATCCATTGTATTACGGACTTCAGTTTAAAAGAAAGTTCCCTTTGAGTGACGTCGTACTTTCAGTATAACTGTCCTACAAAGGCGCTGAGATCTGTCCGTAGACTGAGGAAGCACAGCTTGCTGAAGGTGTTACAGCTGCCACGCTCCTGGCTTTTGGTGATCACTCCATATGCAGAAATCACCCAGCAGGTGCACCTGGATGTCGTTTGCATCTCTGGTGTCGTCTCTTTTCTCATATCTAACTTGAACACATTCCCCCAAATAGACACATATACACATTAGTACTCATACCAAATTTTCTGTGTTAACCTGACCTTTTTAAACTATTGTGTTACACTAAGGAGCCTCTGCCCAAATTCATGTTTTAGTGCAAACTAAAAGAGAGAAAGAGAGAGAGAGAGAGAGAGAGAGACTTTTTAACAAATATAATTCTTGTCAATTAAAACAAACTAAGCTCTTTAGGCTTGGCCTGGTGACGTTGACACAAGCCTGATACTGATGGGTCGCTATTGCCCAGTGTCACTTAGCAAACCATTAAGGCAGCATCTCTCACCCGCAGGCCCAGGACCGCCGGCAGCATCCGGCATGCATGAGAAGTGCAGGCTCTGGGCTCTCCCAGACCTACGCTGCCACCCGCTGCGTCCTCAGAGGATGCGCCCTGAGCTGACCATTTCATCTTAGTGGTTCACTTCAATTTTTAAATGAAATTGAAAGAAAGTATAAAATTATTTAAAACACATCGGTCCCAGTGATGAAGTTACTGCCCAGCGATTTCTAAACTGCGTCCTTTCCCTAAACCACTCGTGGCTCTGACAAACCTTGCTAATGGAATCCATTGGGGACATGTTGAAACCTCCGAAGCGATTGGCGCATCACTTGCACCGTTCTGGTGCATGTAAGCCATTCTGAAACACTTAGAAAATATGCCAAGACAGATAAGCCCTCTTTTAATTCGAAATTGCTGATGTGGATGTTAACAGAAGTTCATCATCATCACCGTGGGGGTGAAACCGCTGACATTCACCGGAATCTGCCTGCTTTGCAGAATGTGCGTTTCCTTCCATGCGTGCCGGGAATTACCGGCATAGCTGGGCCCGTCTCGCCGGGCAGGAGCAGGGTGGGGGCTGTCCTGCCGCGTCCCAGGTCTCCTGTTTCATGTGGAGGGTTGTTTGCTGTAGGTGTGTCCTGTCTCCCACTGACCCATCCACCCCCTGTTTATGGACTGAGCAGACGTAGCCTGTGGTTCTTTTGGAAATTTCGGCCACACCCCACCTTTTGCTTCTGAGTCCATGGGGAAAGATATCCACAGCAACTTATATGATCAGGGATTCTGGGATTTTTGTTGAAGAGCAGATCCAAACCATTCAAGTCCAAAAGAATGTTGCTTGCCCTGAAATACAAATGCCCACCAGCCAATTGTGCCCACCACCTGTTTTCCCACAACCTGTCAGGCAAGAGTTGTATTTACATGAAAATCCCATGAAGTTCAAATGTCAGTGTCCGTACATGGAGTCGGGTGGGAACCCAGCCTCCCCTGTTTATGTACATCCTCAGCTGTTCCACCCCCACTGCAGTGGCAGGTTTGAGTATTTACAGCGAGACTGGGTGGCCTGCAAAACCGAAGATACTTACAATCTGGCTCTTTTAAGAAAAGACTTCATATCAGAGTAACGCTGGCCTTGTAAAATGAATTTAGAAGTAGTCCCTCCTTTTCAGTTTTTTGGAAGAGTTTGTCTTAGTCTGTTTTCTGTTGCTTGTAACACAATATGGGAAACTGGATAATTTCTAAAGAAAGGGAATTTATTTAATGCTTCCTATAGTGATGGAGGCTGAGAAGTCCACGTTCAAGGGCAGCATCTGGTGAGGGCCTTCCTGCTGGCAGGGACCCCGTGCACAGTCCCAGGGTGGTGCAGATGGAGCTGAGCATCTTGGCCAGGACCCTCTTCCTCTTATGAAGCCACCAGTCCCACTCCCATGACGAAGGATTAATCTATTCATGAGAGCTCCAGTCACTTCTTAAAGGCCTCACCTCTGAATACTGCCACATTGAGGCTTAAATTTCAACATGAGTTTTGGAAAATTCAAATATTCACACTGTAGCAGAGTTTGAGAAGGGTTGATATTAGCCTTTCTTTAAACGTTTGGTAGAATTCACCAGTGGAGCTCTCAGGTCCTGGGCTTCTCCTTGAAGGGAGAGTTTTTATTACTGATCGAGTCTCACTTGTTATTGGTCTGTTCAGATTTGCTTTTTCTTTATGATTCAGTCTTGGTAGGTTGTATGTGTCTAGGAGTTTATCTGCTTTTTCTAGGTTATCAAGTTTATTGGTGTATGATGTTCATAGCAGTCTCTTGTGATCTTTGTATTTCTGCAATATCATTTATGATGATTTTTCTTTAATTTCTGATTTTATGAGTCTTCTCTCTTTTTATTGTAGTCTGTCTAAAGATCTTTTCAAAAACCCAACTCTTAGTTTTGTTGATCTTCTCTATTGTCTAATGAGACTTTTCTTGTCTCTATTTCATTTATTTCTGCTCTGATCTTTGTTTTTTCCTTCCTTCTGCTAACTTTGGGTGTAGTTCTTCTTTTTCTAGTTCCTTGAAGTGGAACATTAGGTTTTTATTTGAGAGCTTTCTTTTTTTTTGACACAGGCATTTAATGCTATAAACTTTCCTCTTGGAACTGCTGTTGCTGCATCCCATGAGTTTGGTATGTTGTGTTTCTATTTGTGTTTGCCTTAAGATATGTCTATATTTCCCTTTTGATTTCTTCTTTAACCCAATGGTTGTTCAGGGATATGTTGTTTAATTTCCACATACTTGTCAATTTTCCAGCATTCTTCCAGTTATTGATTTATGGTTTCATACCATCGTGGTTAGAAAAGATACTTGATCTGATTTCCATCGCCTTAAGTTTGTTAAGACTTGTTTGTGGCCTAACCCTGATCTAGCTTAGAGAATGTCTGTATGCACTTGAGAAGAACGTGTTTCTGCTGCTTTGGAGTGGAATGTTCTGTAGATGTCTGTTAGGTCCATGAAGTGGAGTTTAAATACACTGTTTCCATACTGATTTTCTGTCTGGGTGATCTGTGCATTGCTGGAAGCCGGGTATTGAAGTCCCCTACTGTTACTGTATTGCTGTCTCTCCCTTCAGATCTCTTAATATTTGATTTATATATCCATAACTAGTGCCTCAGAAGTTATCCATATCAGGGGTGAAGGCCACCACCACGTGTGCCTGTTTGGCTGAGGTGTTGCTGTTTCCTTGTAAGTGAATTTCTGTCGCATATACTTTTATGCTAGAAGCACACTGGTATGTATAGCGCATAATTGCGTGTGCCAGGATCCGGTGGCAAGGGGCTTACCGAGTGCCTATGCCGAATCTCTGCAAAGCACGCTCTTGACTTTTACCGGAGAGAAGGATGGTGACATTCACTACAATTGTGGGTTTATCAGAATTTTGATTTGAATTTGCTCAGTTGTTCCTTTTCAAGAAGTTAGGGAGCTACATACGAGTGGACCTGCCATTGTGGCTTCATGTGATTCCAGATCAGAAGTTGGCAAATGTTTTTTAGAAGAGCCGGATAGTATTTGACACGTTGCAGGCCACGTGGTCTTGCAGCAGCTCCCCAAATCTGTCCCTGTGGTGTGGACAGAAGCAGCCCTGGATGTATGTGAACAAATAGGGGTGGCTGTGTTCCAATCAGACTTCATGTGTGGACACCGACATTTCAGCTTCAAAGAATTTTCACTGCCACGGAATCTTATTATTTTCTGATTTTTCCTCAATGATTGAAAAATGACTCTTAGCTCACGGGTTTAGGAAAACAGGTAGTGGGCAGAATTGGCTCGTGGGCTGTGGTTTGCCGACTGGTGTTATAGGTCACAACGGTATGTTCTAGAAAGTGGCACTCTGTGGTTCTGGGTGACAGTGGCCTGTCACGTAGCTTCCCCTTCTGCTGTTGATATTGTTGGCCTATGGGCTGGGCTGTGGGTGTCTGTGGTTGCGGTTTGAGTGATTCCTTTCCCAGAACGCCTGCCTGGGACAGTGGTCCTGTGTGTCATGAGAGAGGCTGTCAGCAGGCTGGACTCTGCGTCCCATCCCTCTGAGCTGCATGTGCAGCCCTGACCAGCATCAGCCCTGAGCCCTGAGCGGCATTCACTTCCATCTCACCTGGGTAATTAAGTCATGCTAATTGCTGCCGCTCCTGGCACAGTGTCTTCCGGCCTGATTGGGTGACATCATGGGCCACTGCTGCGTCGATCTGCCCAAGAGGACTTCAGGGCCGCGCCAATCAGCACACGCTCTTGCTGTCGGGACCTGGCGTGCGGGTTCGCTGCGGTGGAGGCTTTAGTTGTACTGGGTGCTGACTATCCCGGAACAGGGAAGCCGGGGAGTGGGGGTAGCGCTGGTCTACCCTCCAAAACAAGCTCTCTGTCATTCTGTCCAGGGGTGAGCATATTCCTGTTCTAATTACACCTCTGCTGTGGGATTCCAGAGAAAATGAGCTCCTCTTTTGTTTCCTACAGGGCGGAAAAGGACGCATAGGAGTGGTCATATCATCCTACATGCACTTCACCAACGTCTCGGCCAGGTAGGACGAAGATGTCAGCCTGCTACTGACAGCTGAGACTGCCCGGGGCAGGAGGCTGCCTGTCTGGGAGCCGTCCTGGATGGAGTCCCAAGGGCACGGCTGGCCTGTGTCCCCCACTCCCCACTGCTGGGGTGGTTGGACCCTGCAACCCTGCTTCCAGCTAAGGATTTCCACTTGCGAAAAAGACATTTTCCTGGTTGGGCAGCCATGTGTGATTGATTCTGAGTACTTCCACGGAGACATTAAAAAAATAAGTGAGCTCGCTATCATTCTCTAATAGAAATAGCAGAGGTAAACATCACCGTTATGAAAAGCAAGAACAGAGTTGTCTCACTGGATCAATTTACACCTTATAAATAATGACGGCGACAGCCACTGCTTTTCACATGTACTGGCCCTCTGGGAAGTACACTGAATATTTTCCTGTTCTCCGTGAATTTTCCCAACTAAGCCATGAGGCAGTTATTATTGTTGCCATTGTACAGATGAGGAAATTGAGGCTCAGGGGGCCAGGCAGCTTGCTCTCAATCTCACAGCCTGTGCACAGGAGCCGGGTCTGGGCTGGTTCTCACGAGGTGGAACAGTCATTGTGGAGGCTTCCAAGGTGCCATTGGGGTCCCCTCAGCCAGGCACAGTGGGCACAGCAGGGCCATGAGGACCTCAGCCCCGCGCCAGCCCTCCTGGCGCTCGGCAGCCGTGGCGTCTCCCGATCCGCTTCCCCGAGCACAGATCTCCACTCACGCTGAGATTCAGTTTAGAAAATACCATTCTTTGTGGGTTTCGCATGTGCGCGTGCCCCGTCTTCTCAATGCCCACTTTGTGAAGCCTGAGCTTCCACTCTGGGGATATAGAAGCCTATTCATAGCAGCCAGTAAACCTTTTCCTTTCTAGCACCAAGGAGTGAAATTTGACTTTCCGAATGTTTTCCCTGGAAACAAACTGGGGAGCTAGTGCCTGCCAGGGCGGAAACCCAACCCCCGAGTGCAAATCAGATCCCCTCTGGTGAGAACAGTCACCTGTGTGTGTGCCAGACACACTGAGCTTCCCGTTCACATCCAGCCCTCAGTTACACGGCAGACATTGGTTGGGACCAAGTTTAGCCTGGCTCCTTCTGGACAGAGACCACCCTGAACATTCCTGCCCTAACAGGGCCGTTTTGTCTGAATCGAGGTTCTGTGCACTGGGGCTGGGCCTGGCATTTCTGGGGAAGATTGAGGGTAAGGGCCTAATTCATTTAAAGCACAGCCCTGATGCTCTTTCCGAGAAGTCTCGCCTCTCCATGTAGTCAGTACATATTTCAGCTGCGTGTGTCAAGCAATTTACCTGAGTCTCTATGCCTCAGTGTCCTCACCTGGGAAGTGGGAATAATAGTTGTACCTCCCGGAGTGTTGTGACGCTTCAGTGTGTCATTACACCTAAAGCACTTAGAACAGCATCAGTGCTCAGGTACCGGCTGTTGTTACAGGAGTGACGCTCTCAAGTGCCTTCCATCCAGTGGCTGACACCACACGCTCCCTGTAACTTGCCTCTACCCTGACACCGTTTCCTGTGTGTCTCCCCGAGCCTGTTCCAACAGCTGCAGAGCGCCTCCTGCAGTGGGTGTGATGTGAGGTATTTAACACTCACCAGCTGTGCCTGTCCAGGTTGCTTCTAGCTTTTCTTTAGAATTTAGGTTGCTTCCGATTATCCTCTACTCCAAAACCTGCCATGATGAACACATGCTTACACGTACATCTGTGATCATTTCTGCAGTGTTCCCTCTTAGATCGTATTCCAGAAGTAATCACATGTTTAAGGCCTTTACCACAAACTACACAAACAGAACAAAACAGAAACTGAAAGTCACAAAGTAAGAAGAATATTCTTGTATCAGTACCATAAAAATAAGAGTTCCTAAAGGCAAAGCCAGCACTCATGTGAATACTAATGATATTGATACGGAGTATGACATTGGCCAGGGCGTATTCCCAGCATTTAATAAACAAGTCAATTCCAAGACACACGACTACTTAAAGGTCAGTGAGCAGACATGTGACTACACTTTCTTGCTTAAAAGACACATGTACTCAATATGTGAAGTGGCCGGTACCTAAATGGACCCCTCTGTCTGTGACAGCCACCAGGCCGGCCCCTTGCTTAGGCAGATAGAGGTGGCACGTTATCCACTTTATTGCACTCAATGACAGTCAAAACGCATTAAACTTAATTTTAAATATTTTCCTTTTCCTTCTGCCTATCCCTGCATATTTTTTCTGGGTCTTTATGATGTCAACAATTCTTATATGTATCATTTTTCTGGAGGGACACACACACATTTTTCTAAGGAAAGAGCCACACTTCCATCAGAGTTTGAAGGAAGCTTTTGGCTCAAACAAGTCTCAATTGTTAAGACTACTGCACTCAGATTCCGCGGTTTATGCTGAAGTCATATCAGGAAAACCCACAAATGCCCTGCTGTGAGGTTTCTGGAAAGTTCTGCTGAACGCTCCGTGTGGGCATTGTGGAGTTTAACGTCACGTATGTTGTTGGAAGGCAGGGTTACTTTCTGTGGCGCTCACTACAAGTCATAATTATGCAGCCCTGCAGCCTCAGACACCTTCCCAAGCCCCTCTGGCGCTGCAGCGTCCTGCACCTTTTTCAAGTGTGTTCCTAGAAGTGACTTCCTGACCGAGGCACCCTGGCTGGCCCACGTGTGTTTCACATGTGTAGTGGTGTGCACTGTCATGCCCCGGGCTTGCTGCCCACATCCTCACTGCCCTGTGACGTCTGCCTGCCTGCGAGTCTTACGCAGAGCCCGCCTAAACCGGCCTCCTTTTTTTGGGAGCTGGGCTGGCCGGGGACAGTTTTGGACTCCGGCCCTGCTGCCTGCCTGCTGAGACTCCAGCAGTTCTCCTGGGGCCCGTACGCTGCACATCGAAGTGTCACACCCGTAGATAAGATGCGGCTGTTTCAGAGGCGAGTTCCCATCCTGCAGGTGCGGCTCCCGTTTTGAGTGGAGCGTGGTCCTGCAGGGGAGAGGCAGTCTCAGGAGAGATGGACGGACTGGGAGTACACAGGCCCCATTGCAGCGAGAGAGGGACGCTCCTTGCGGGAGCTGGTCACTCTGAACAGCCGCAGGACACCTGTGCCCTGTCACCCAGCCATGCAGCGGGACCTCCACTGAGCCGATGCTGTCTCTTTCTCTCTCTGCTTCTCCAGCGCCGACCAGGCCCTTGACAGATTTGCAATGAAGAAGTTTTATGACGACAAGGTTTCAGCTTTAATGCAGCCATCCCAGAAAAGGTACGTATGCATCCTACATCCCCGGTGCCGGAGTGAAAAGTGAATGGGATTTTACATTTAAACATGTGAAAACAGAAGAGGCAGCTCCTCTGACCTGACCCCCAAACAGTATCCTCGTGTCATGCCAAAGAACATGAGGAAGGAACTTGTTCACGCCCAGAGGCGAGGAGATGAGCCCTGCGGCTGTGTGCGGCCTGAGCCCTCCGCCAGCTGGCGCGCTCTGAGAGAGGCAGGCCGGGACTCCTGTCCTCACCCGCAGCAGTTGGGGTCTTGCTCTCTTGCAATGAGTGAGTTCTGATTTCTGTTACGTTGGAACTTGTTTTTATCTGCTAGACCAGCGGTCAGTGAGGTTTTGCTGTAACGGAGTAGAGCAATGTGCAGGCCACGTGGTCTCTGTCACAGCTGTTCTAACATGAAAACAGCCCCAGGCAATAGTATGTCAGTGAACGTGGCTGTACTCCAATAAAACTTTATCGACACAAACACATTAGCAGGGTACATTTGGCCAGTCCTTGTAGTAGCCCATCCGCTTCCTGACACAGGGAGCACTTCTCTTTAACACTGCCCGTCTCTCCCTTCTTCTCTGCTCGGCGCCACCCCTGGAAAAGGCTCGGTAACTGTCAGGGAACAGCTGTAGGCGAGCAGAGCTGTCTGCTTCTGCCATCTGGTGCATCCGAGGGCTTTGTCAGCAGACGTGGGGTAGGCGGAAAGGGATTTCAAAGGCTGCCAGAGGCACCTTCTCCCTTTGTCTTGCTGTTTCCAGTGTCCCGGGCCCGTTTCTGCTCCAACTGGGTGTGTAGGAGGACGGTGGGCAGAGTGTGGGGCAGTGGGGCAGCACCTGGCGGGGCCCTGCCCTGAGCAACAGGCCTCACATGGAATGAAAGTCCCTTGCAGAAACCCCAGCATTATATTAGTATTGTAGTTAAATAGCCCCTTGCTCTGTTTTCAATCATTGTGTTATTTCTCCGTTGAACGGCTTCCAGAATGGTGACATTCGTACGACCTTCCTCAAGGAAGATGAGGCATAAACAGGGACTAACCCACGGAAAAGGCTTAGCTCACGTTGAGGAATCACAGCTCCGCTTAGTTCCTTCTTTTTGTTCTTGTTACTTACTGTAGCAGCAGCTTGTTAATAGCATTAGAAGACTGGGGAAAAGGGTGGAAATCACCTCATTTTAACATGCCCAAGGATTTCCTGCACCCTTCCTGTCATTGCACATTTGAAGCTATGGCATTTACATCTTTTAACAGTGTAATTGAATGGATTCCAGTTTGGATTCCAGGGTTAGTCTCCCTGCCCCCAAGATTAGGGAAATGCCCTTATTCCTTGCTGTTTTCTTGTTACCCTGCCCCGTGCCTGCATTAGAAGGCGCGCACCAAGTGGTTACTGAGTGAATGCATAGGGTAAATCTGGAGGAACGCTTGAGGCCAGAAGAACGTGCAATGACTGCTTTTATGGGAACAGGCTCTGTGATGGGAGCTTCTCTATTACCTTGAGTGCCCCGGGGGGCAGGGGGAGGTTTGCTGTGGATGCTATATTAGGACTAAGCTCAGAAATCATTTCAAAGTCAAACTTGTAATAATCACTCTTGAGAATGATTAATTAACTTGGGGTTTGTGGCCAAGAAGCTGTAAAGTCTCACAGCAACCTTGATGGGAGGCGAGTTCCGTGTTCCTTTGTTTATTACAGTCTGCCCGTGGAGCAGTCTGCCCGTGGAGCCAGGTCAGACACGCCCTGTTGTAATTCCCTGTTTTAGCAAAGCTTCAGAAGCAGCTCCTTGGCACCCTGGTGTGGCCTTGTGTTGTGCTGCTGTGTTAGGGAGGCACCCCTGAACTTCCCTGAACTTGGAGGCCTTCCTCTTTGATAAGTAATTTAAAAAAAAAAAATCCTAGTGTAGTCTTAGTTGATCATCAGCATAATGAAAGTGATGTATTAAAATCATTGAAGTGACTGACCTCCTTCCTCTTTTCTTCCTTTTCCACTTTTCCTTCTGAGAAGGAATCAAGACCGCAGCACTCATTTCTTGGCCCCAGCACTTTGAGTGAGTGGGGTGAGTGGCAGGTGGCTGGTTCTTTCTGGGAGAGCTGACATCTCCTGAGTGTCAGCTGCAAAAGTGACCCTGGGAGGTCACTAAGACCACCACTCACGTCTTCTGTGCACCTGTATTCCTTTGGCAAAGGGAAGAGAGACCAAACAAATGTCTTGGCTTGCAGAAATTAGGATCCTAGAAATTATTCTAGCATTCCAGCATTATTTGGCTTTTGATATTTGTGCCATTTTGACATGATGCCTTGGGTGCCTGAAAGAACACTAGAAAGATGTAAGGGGAGCAGATGTCCAAATTCTCTAAAGGATGCTGCTGCTCAGGGGGTCAGCCCCTGCAGTACTTCTGCCCCTGTGGCCCTCCCCGAGCATCCTCCTCATCACCCCTGGCCGCAGAAGTGCAGGCAGAGGAGGGGGAATGTTCCTCACGGAGCCACACACTTTGACTGGGCCTGGCCGTCCGCTCTAAGTCACCAGCTCTGTGGGCGAGGCCACCTACAGTCTGGCAGTATCCCCTGGGGAGTGCGGAGGCTGTGACTCCGTGTTATTGTCTCCTCTGCCCCTGACATCCACGCAACTGGCTCATCTTTGCAGAAAGCCCAAAGCACAGGTCTCATTATTCTCCCCAATACAGGCGAGGGAAGGGGGCACTTGGGACCGCTGAATAGCAGCCCGAGCTTGGTTCTCACCAACAGGGCAGAGCTCACCTTTCCTTGCCAGTTTGTGCGTCCCTGCAGCCGTAGCTGATGCTGAGAGCTGGAGATACGGAAAAATGTCCTGTCATGGTGGCTCCTGTTGCTTAGGAAAGTAACATTTGAATGCTGAGTTTGTTATATCCACATCTTCAGAGAGATTTAAGCTTATGTCCAGTGCAACTCAAATATATAGGTGTATAGAGAAATTTATGGGAATTCCAAATGCAAGTTTTTTGCTTTTATAAGTGGTTATAAATAATGCAAGGGACAACTGAAAATTCCAGCCTGCTCTGGGACGTGGCCGAAGCATGTGCTCTGTGTTGGTCCCCTGGCAACTTAGAGGCAATCCCTCGGTTTTTAAAACTTACGCACTAGTTTGAGATGAAGCATGGAAAACATCATCCCCAGGGAGTCAGGGAGTTATTTCCCAAAAAGAAAGAAAAGATAGTAGTGGGAATATAATGAAGCTATTTTTATAAAATATCTGGCTTCTCTTCTGTACAGCTGTGAAAACTATGTTTACTAAGTAGAAACATTTTATTTTTGAGAAGGCTTTTGAGATGGTCTTTAGAGGGCATCTGACACTCTATCATTCGTTCATTCGTTCATTCATTCATTCATCTCTACCTTTAATGCCATAGGTTAATATCATGTGTAGAGAATTAAAATCGATTCTTTCCACCACTGGCTGGATGAACCTGTGAAATCCTTTCCCATTATTTTTGTTTCCCCTTATTTTCATCTATGGTCTGAATTTTCTTTTCTTTGGTACTGATGGCCCCTCTCTGGGTGGTCACTCACAAACTCGGGGCTGTTACAGACGGCCGGTGACCTGTCTGCCATCTCTACAGCAACAACTACAGCTTATATTTGCTGTGAACTTTGTTGTTTGTGTAAGGCATTCCTGTTTTTTTATAAGTCATGTATATATTTGAGACTTATAATAATATTCTTTTTAACAAAATTTTTCCTTATTAAGAAAACGTGATGGAAGAAATAAGTTGCACTTAACATTTTGTCTTTCATTTACCTGAAAATATGAATTCATTAAAAAGCAGTTTTCTAGAAAGGACAGATGAGGGTTATACGCCCAGAGGGTATTTTGAAAGTATTACTTTTCGATTGCTTAAGCTATGAACTGAGCAGCCCTTTGTGGACTGACGTGGGAAGCTGGTGACTGTTGAGAACCAGTTTTGCGGGGGGCAAGTCTCCAGAGTCCTGGGGCCCAGGCAGTAGGTGACCTCCTTCCTTTCCTGTCTGACTGTGACTGAGCATGTGGCCCTGGACTTTGGCCTCCTTTTAGGGCTTGCAGCAAAACAGAATTATTCTGCTGTCACCCTAACCCTCCTCGTCTTCAGGAAACTACTTCTTGTGCTCTCTCTGGTGGCATGGGTGACAGTCACAGCCAGACCACATCAGTGGAAAAGAAGGCTCTGTGACCTAAGTATGGGACAAGACCTGGGTCAGGGAGAGGTCTTAGTTTCCCCAAGGGCAGCTCTTTGCCCCCCATGGGACTTTGGCGGTCACTCTGGGCTCAGCCAAAGTCAGACTGCCCCCTCCCCATTGACAGGCACCCTCAGGCACAGCACCACCATGTTGGCTGGAAAGTAAAACAATTCCTAGTCCACCCAGATGCTTGGGTGCTGAGAACAGCCATGGGGTAAATGACCGTCTCACCTGTGCGGTGACTGCAGAGGGCTGTGAGGGGGCGGCCGGGTGCGGTGGAGTCAGCGTGCTGCCGAGAAACAGGGCCGGCTGAGGAAGTGGATTCCTAGCGTCCAAGTAGGGCTGCCGGTGCTGGAGGGAGCGAAGAACTGGCCCAGATGGGGTGATGAAGGCTCCCCATCCAAACATCTGTGCTTCCTCATCTTTGCTTAATACCAGGGAGCCAAAGAACCTATGGAATCTGCAATGTGTAAAATTTAGGTAATTAAAGATAGATGATTCGCTCATTCCTCTGTCTACATACAGCACAGAGAAGGCAGGAAGTCTTGTCAGGGTAGAAGATACCTGGCGAGGAAGGGTCTGGAGCCGTCTGGAGGCTCGGCCATGGTCTGGTCACTGGCCGCCAGGGTGTCCAGGGTGACCAGGGTGAGTGTCCGGCCTCTGCAGGTCTCCCACTGGGGGCAATGACGGCTTGTGGCCTGGCTGTGCCTAGCTGTGGCTTCGCTGGACAGGGACAGAGGCCTCCAGGTGTGGGGGGCTTGAGGCCTTCCAGGAGGTTGCTTGGGCTTCAGTGTCCCTGGTGCCTGGTGCGTAGTCAGTGTGGGATGTCCCCAGAGATGCATGGGGGTGGGGGTGCTGCGCCGAGACCCTGCCCGGCCGTGAGGCGGGACGGGTGCTCTCCCCGGACCCCAGGCAGGGCAGGTCAGTGCTCCTCCCTGACTGCGCCCAGGGCAGGCGCCGAGGGCACTCTGGAGTCTGAGCCGGCTGTTCCTATGCAGGTACGTTCAGTTCCTCAGCGGGCTCCTGTCTGGGTCGGTGAAAATGAACGCCTCGCCCCTGTTCCTGCATTTGGTCATCCTCCACGGCACCCCCAACTTCGACACCGGTGGAGGTGAGTGTCCTGCATGATGTGGCGCCTATGATTTGCTGGCCCAGACTTGGGCTGGCCCTGGTCCCTCAGTGTAGACAAGTCTCGCTCCTTTGAGAGCCCAGGATCTGCTCCTCAGCCTCCCTGGTTGCTGACTGTGGCCCCTCTCGAGGACCAAATGCCATCTTTGTGGGGTTGGGCCAAGTTAGGGGAGGGACAGGAGGCCAGTTGGGGTGAACACCAGTACCCCTGTGTCCTGTGGACAGTGGCTTGGGCAGGCACAAGTTTTCCTGGGCGGTAGCCCTGGGAGTCAGCTGTGCAGCTGGCCTCGAGGTCACAAGTTGTGAGAGAAGCGCAACAAGAGAGGCATGCATGTGACCTCCCCTGACTCGTCTCATGAGCCCATCTCCTTGTTCACCTTTAACAGGACCCCAGAGGAAAGTGCACAGCACGACCCTGGGATCAGGGCCCTGTCCCCTCCTCCCAGTCCCACGAAGGCACACAGAGCATGTGGCTGGGTTCAGGATGTTGTCCCCTCCTGCCCAGTCCCATTCAGCTACACGCGGCACCTAACTGGGGACAGGACGCCGTCCCCTCCTCCCTGGTCCTGCACAGGTTCTCGCTCATCAGTTTCTTTGGTCTGTAAAGTACATCCTTGCCTTCAGGTCCCCCTGGGCATCGTGGCCAGAGTGTGACTTTGCTGAGGGGCGAGTTGATTATGAGGCAGCCTGGCTGGATGGTTCAGGGTCCTTTGTCACCCTGTGAGTAAAGGTGGAACTGTTGCTCTGCAGGCACCCAAAAGTGGGCTTGGCTTCAAGGTGAGGCCTGCCTTTTCTGCAGCAATGCTGGGCCTCCACGGTCCCCGGGTCTGGCTCTGGCCGTGGTTTTTCCAGACCTCAGTGGCCACCTGTGCAGTCTCCTGGTACGGGCACCTTTCTCTCTCTCTGTCTGCAAAACTCACGTCTGTTTTGTCCGGATTACACGTTTACAGACGGTTGTGCCTCTCTTTCAGTGTGCCGGCCCTTTCTGAAGCTCTACCAAGCCATGCAGCCCGTGTACACATCAGGGATCTAGTAAGTGCTGCTCCTCCCAGGGGACTTCTGCACAGCCCGGGCATCGCCCCAGAGCCTCAGCAGGAAGGTGGGGAGGGAGGAGGGCAGAGAATGCCAAGGAGCTGGAGAGAGTGTCTGGAGGGGAAAGCCCGCGCACGGCCTGTGTTCTGGCATCCCACCTCAGCCCTCCCTCCTGCCCTGAGCGGGTGGATGGGTGTCTTGTTGCCGTCACAACGGTCGGCTCCATTAAGGGGCCTGGATGCTGGAGCTTGGAGCGGGGAGAGGGCCATTCCAGGCCCCCTGTGGATACCCAAACCTGCAGATGCTCAAATCCCTTATTTAAAGTGGCGTAGTATTCGCGCATACGCATTCTCTCGTGTACTCATCCCTAGACTACTTACAATACCTGATATAAGGTAAATGCTACGTAAATAGTTGCTATCCTGTATTTTTTTATTTGTATTCTTTTCTATTGTTATATTGTTACTTTTTATTTATTTTCCACGGTATTTGTTATCTCAAGTTGGTTGAATCCACGGACGTGGAACCCATAGATAAGAAGGGTCACCGGTAAATGTATCGGAGAAAGTCCTGGGACTGGGTCTCCTTATGGTTTTTCTTTCTCTCTCCTCTTTGCGTTTTGGGTACAGTGTAGCCACAAGTCCTCAGAATTTCTATGAATTTCTGAGGTTTTTGGTGTTCTTTTTTTCATGTGGATAAGCATTTTATGAGTGTTAATGGAAACTGAGTAAGGGTAACAAAGGTTCTCACCACTCAGAGCTGCTGTCACCTTTCTGGGTTCGAGCGGGGCCCTGCACATGCTGACGTCACTTTGGAAGGTGCACCTCAGCTTGTGACTGAAGCTGCGGCCGAGCGCACCAGGCCCCTTCCTCTGAGGCTGCAGGATCCCTGCCGTGCCCGGGCCCTGGGGTTGGGCCTTAGTCACTGTGGGTTGTTGACCGACCACGGTGATGCTGTGCCCCTCCCCAGGCCAGGGGAGCTTTCCTTTTAGATTAATTTCCATAGTGTAGATTCCCAGGAATTGGATTCTGAGTTAAGCAGAACATTTTGTGTAATTTCTGAATTTTTAATTGTAGTGTTGCATTTCTCAACATGTGTTCCTCCCATGAAATCATGGAGTTGCATAGTGACCTACCTTCTTGTTTATCCCAAAGCAATGTTGGCCCAGAAAACCCCAGCAGGATCTGCATTGCCATAGAGCCGGCCCAGCTTCTGAAGGGGGACGTCATGGTGAGTGCCATCGTGGCTGGGGCATGGTCCCCACCCTCCCAGGGAGAATGACTCAAAAGGGAAAAACGACTCTATTTTAGAACAACAACCACTCTCCCCCAAAAAACCCTGTAGAAAGAATGAAAAGTACCCTTAACCAATTACCTTAAGGTATTTGGTTAATTTTCTGAGTAAAACTATTTTAATTACAGGTACAGAACAAATCTTCGTCCTCGCTTCTCTTGCATCATAGAGCCACTTGATATGTATAAATGGGACATTAAAGTCCTAACTCAGCCACTACACCTCCGAGGGTCCCCATTTTCTGACAATAATTTGCATTCTTAATATGATCATAGGCCTCCTAGGGTATTGGTGTAGAAATAGAATATTTAATTACTATTTTTTTTTTTTTTTTGAGACAGAGTCTCACTCTGTTGCCCGGGCTAGAGTGCTGTGGCTTCAGCCTAGCTTGCAGCAACCTCAAACTCCTGGACTCAAGCGATCCTACTGCCTCAGCCTCCCGAGTAGCTGGGACTACAGGCATGTGCCACCATGCCTGGCTAATTTTTCTAAATATATATTTTTAGTTGTCCAGGTAGTTTCTATTTTTAGTAGAGACGAGGTCTCGCTCTTGCTCAGGCTGGTCTCGAACTCCTGACCTTGAGCGATCCACCTGCCTCGGCCTCCCAGAGTGCTGGGATTACAGGCGTGAGCCACTGCACCCGGCCTTTATTTACTATTAATAGCCAAATTGTGAAATATAAGTGGTGTTATTACAGCTCGATTAATGATCGAAACTGATTTCTTCAGATAATTTTGATTCTTGGGTGTGTTGGTTCTTGGAGGAGATTAGCTGTTACATTTTTGCCTTTTATTGATCTTGAATATAGAAAAATTCATACATTTAAAATAATTTTAGGAAAGGTTTTGTCTAAAATAAGAAAAGCTTTTATTTTTTTATTTTATTTTATTTTGTTGAGACAGAGTCTAGCTCTGTCACGTGGGCTAGAGTGCAGTGGCATCATAGCTCACTGCAACATCCGACTACTGACTGGCCTCAAGTGATCCTCCTGCCTAAGCCTCCCGAGTAGCTGGGACTATAGGCACGTGCCACGACGCCCAGCTAATTTATTCTATTTTTAGTAGAGATGGGGTCTCACTTTTTCTGAGGCTGGTCTCAGACTCCTGAGCTCAAGCGATCCTCCCGCCTCGGCCTTGCAGAGTGCTAGGATTACAGGCGTGAGCCACCGTGCCCGACCAAAATAAGGAGAGCTTTTAAAGCATAGGTACGGCTTTGAGCATGCATAGAATCACTTACTTATAATCTTTATACTCACTTTGATAACAAGGTAAAACAGTTCAAGAGTTGGCTTTCCATTTTATTTTAAATGGCCCATCCAAAGTCTTTCCCCTGAAAATTTGGATTTTAAAATGCTCTCTTAGTAGATGGGCAATTCCTCACCTTGCCCATCTTGGATTTGTGCAAAAATCTAGTCAGGAAGGGACCTGTGGATACAGCCATACCTGCCGAGTCCCTCTCAGTCCCAGGGCCCCAGAGGCTGTCCTGTGACACGGCTTACTGCCCTGAGGGCGGATTCTGCAGGTCAGTGAGGTGGCCTGGGACCTCGGCCACATGGCTGAGCCCTGCCCTTTGCAAGGCATCGCACTGAGCACTTCATAAATATCGTGTCTTCTGCTTCACAGGTGCAAAAACTGAGGCTGGGGAGTCTCAGACATTGTTGCAGGCTCTCTTTCTCAGCACCCTAGTCTACCGCTCCCAGGAAAAGGGACCTGGGGCTGGAGGTCTGTCTTCAGCGTGCTGTGCATCCAGGCCTGGTTAGGAGCGGGGGGAGGAGGAGGCAGTGGTGTGGGGGGGCTTCTGCTCCTGGGCTCCTCACGTCTCCTGCCCCTGCTGAATGTAGCCCCAGCCTGGGTCTCCCAACCTCCTGGGGATTTTGGGCAAAGGGCTGAGCCTTTATTGAGCACCGCTGTATGCCATCACTTGACTCTGCCAGCGGTTCTGGAGGTGGGGCCTGTGTCCTCGCTTTAAGGAGAGGCCACGAGGGGCTGGTGGTGATGCTGGCAGGATTTGGTCTCTACCTGCCACAGGAGCGGGGCTCTGGAGTTGGCATCTCCTGGGTGGGTGCTCCCTGTCTTCAGGTCTTCAGTGACAAGTAGTTAGGGCCATGTCCCTTCGCAATGACTTTCAGGAGTTGGCCAAAAGACTGCCATGTGGAGGGTGGGCCTCAGACTGGGGTGCATGGCTCCCCATCCTCTGGAAGAGCACAGGCGGCCGCTCACCTCCCTGTGTGTGGGCTGGTGGCTGCGGGGTCTTCGCGAGGCCAGAGGGGTGGGGGGCGGTCCAGAGGCTGAGAGTCCCCTGGGAAGTGGCCAGCTGCCCCCTCCCCTGCTCTCCCACCCCTCCCTCACTCCCCTCTCTCTTCTTCTTGCCCTTGCTCCCTCTCCTCCCTCCCTCCTTCCTCCCATCGCTATTTCATACCACTCCTCTTTCCTGTCGGTGTCCACCAGCTATCCTTTTGTGAGTGTTTGGTGCGTTTCTGAGTCCCTGTGCTTGGCCCTCGGCATAGGAAGGAAGGGAGGGGTGCATGACATCTTTGTCCTGGAGGAGCCTGGTGGGGACATGGGCTGTCTCAGGAGGGGACTCACAGGTGCTGTGAAGTCTACGAGGGCCATGGTGGGATGGGTGGGCCAGGCCAGGCGAGGGATCAGACGGACGTGACCTGTGAGTTGGTGCCAAGCTGGAAAGGGTGTCACACATGGAGGGCGCAGTGTCCCAGGCTTCGAGGCCCCTGCTGGAGGCTGGTGCCTGTGTTAGGACGTCTCTCTGTGAGGAAAGCCCTCGTCTTGGAAGGCTGAGGCCAGGTTTTGGAGGACTTGTATATCTGCAGCTTCTTTTGGGAAGTGTGGGCCTCTGCCCAGTGAGGACCCCACTGAGGGTGTGTGAGGATTAAATGAGCTCACTCACAGGGGTCTCCCAGGACAGCCCTGGCAGAGCCTGGGGCATCACCAAGGCCACTGTCACCCACCAGAGCAGACAGTGGCTTGGCCTTGGGGCGGCCACCACCCCCTCCTGTAGGAGGGACCCTTGCAGGCCCCATGCGTGGTCTGTCCCTCCCACAGTGGGCACCACAGCCCGAGCTCGCGGTCTGGGTCAACATCACGTGCACCCCCATCGCAGCAGCTGACAGGTGGCTTTGAGTGGGGAGTGGATGTGATTTGGAGGGGAGGTGGTGGTTTTGGTGAGAGGTGGCGGTTTGGCACAGGAACGGGGTCGGGCGGGGAGGAGAGCCGTGAGTGGGTGAAGGAGGCGCTCGCCACCGGGCATGCTTGGACTTAGCCTGTTCCTGTGCGCCGTTCGCCCCTGGCGAAGGCCCTGGGAGTTCCGGCGCCTGGCAGCCATGTGTTGCTCAAGCTCAGGAAGGCACGGGCCTGTGTCTTTGGATGAAAGACGATGCCTTCTGGGCATCCAGAGGCCACACGAAGGCACCTCTTGTCTGTGGTTATTTGGTTATCGGTATAGGTGGTGTTTGGCCATCAGCTAAAGAGGCTATTCCCTGTCAGGTCTGGGGCTTTCTTGATGCTTTGCTGTGGCAAGAAGTCTGAAACGGTGACTATCTGGACTGTGAATATATTTCTCAGAAAATTTTATTTCCAATTCAAACTTACGAGTCCACCTACTGCTGAGCAGAGACATTGGAAAGGGCAGGCCATGGAGCGCATAGTCACACCTCTGCCTGGCCCCGGCCTCTGGAGGAGCCATCAGTTGGGACGAAGTGCCCAGGATGTGGCAGGAGCATGGCCCGGGGCCGTAGGCTAGGTCGGTTCCACCCTGTGAGGTCCTGGGCTGGGGCATGGGGTCCGAGAGGTTCCCTGCATTGTTCCCTACAAACAGGGTCACTCGAGGGCAGCGAAACTCTAAGCACCATGAGGAAGTAGTTCTGAGAAGAGGGACGCTGACCTCAGGGGACGAGGGGCAACTGGAACATGGAGTGTTTTAGGGAACAGAGAGTGGGTAGAGGTGGGGGATGAGAGGATCCCTGGAGTGAGTTGGATACAGACGGGGTCACCTGTGGGACAGGTGCCAGGTGCAGGCCTCACCTCCTGACCCAGGTGAGAGCAGGTGGGAAGCCAGCGTGGAGGGCGGGCTGCTGGGAGGACGTCACACTTAGACTTTGCTACAGGAGGGCAGGGCTGTGCTGGTGTGGGGTACTGGCACACGAGGGGACCCCCCTTTCTTCCGAGCGATCTTCCAGACTGTCTTAGTCCGTTCGGGCTGCTATAATAAAGTACCGCAGACGGGGTGGCTTAAACACGGCAGAATTGATCTCTCACGGTCTGGAGGCTGGAAGTCCAAGATCAAGGCCCCAGCAGACTCGGGGGCTGGCCAGGGCTGGCTTCTGGTTCATAGAGGGCACCTTAGCACCACGTCTTCACGTGGCAGAAGAGGCCAGGGAGCTCCCTGGGGCTGCTTTCGTAGGGGCATGGATCCCACGTCACCCTCGTGACCTGTCACCCCTCGGAGGTCCCACTCGCCATGCCATCAGCTCAGGGTTAGGAGTCCAGCATGTGAGTTTGGGGGACACAGGTGTTCGGACCCACGTCTCCCTCCCAGCTGTTCCAGCGCCCCCGTGCCCGGCTGTCCAGATCTTTCCGGGTCTTCGCTGTGCCTTGCTGCTGTGTCCCCTGCTGTGCCTCTGGTGGCTCCTGACCCTCCCAGGCAGCGCAGCGTCTCCTTTTTATCTCCCACTTTCTTACTCAGATTGGGGAAGGGATGGTTGTCCTCTGCCGCCCCCCTGCTCCTTGCTGGGCTCGGTGAAGGTGCCCTCTCCTCTCGGCCCAGGCGACCACGGCCTTGGACCACATCCTAGGGACCTCGTTCTTCTGGCCTGGCCTGTGGTGCCTGCCCAGGGGCCTGTTCTCTTCCCGTGACTTCCCACCTGCAGCCCCTCCCAGCTGTCCCAGGCTGATGTTCTCCAGTCTCCGTCTCCTCCTGGTCC